GAGAGATTTCTAAATTTATGTTGTTTTCCTACCAGGCAGAGTCAAGGGAGATGTCACAAAAAAGCAGGAATGCATTTGAACATATGCATGATGTACTACATGAAAGGGAGTACCTTTGCTTGGGTCAGCTGAGAGATCTGGAGAAAGAGATTGAGATGCTGGAAGAAGAAAACGCTGTTAATCTGCCAGAAAAGATTGCCTGCCAAGAGAAGTTGATTTCAGAGATGCAAAAAAAGCTATGTCAATATCCGTTTGAATTCTTACGGGTAAGATTTAAGGGGAGGAACCAATTCTAAGACTGAAGGTAGGGGGTTGAGAATACAGAATCCTGGATCTGATCACTGATTTTCTGCAGTTGTGGATAAGACCTGGGGCTTAACTCAAGATATTTCAAACAAATTCATGAAAAGGAAAGAGAAGGCCAGTTCCTTTCTGAGACAAACTACATTATGTTTTAAGGAATTATGTGCAGACTTTAACAGCTAGAGAAGGAGTATTTTTGGTTAAAGAGATTCCTTATTTGACTTCTCTTCCTTCAATAGGAGTGTAGTTATTAATATTATTATTATATACAATATTATGCTGCCTGACTCCCAAAGACTCTGGGTGACTCACAAGTTAAATATTAAAAACAAGAAAAAAATACAACAATCAATAAAAATGAATAAGAAAATATGTCAAGGATGACAAAAAAATAAAGTCAAGAAACCAGTTGAGGAAATCCAATTATGTTAGCCCCAGAAAAGCATGACAGTGAATACTAACTCTATCTTTATTGTAAGGTTACATTAACAGAATCTTGCAAGTCTGAAAGGACAGCTCTCCCTCTTTGCCTATACAGTCCAAGAAACTAGGGAGGGTCCCTTCCGAGGCGCTTTCTCTACCCCTTCTCCTTTGGACTCCTTTGTTTATCAGAAATTGTCTAGGCTTTGGCTGTTCCTCCTGTCTCCCAAGGTCATTCCCACATAACATTACAAGGTATGAATGCAATGCGAAGTGTAATGCCTGCTTGAAGCTGAATAATTTCTGGTGACCACCACTGCAGTTTAACAAAACTAGAACTTTAATTCAGAACAGAGAAGACTCTACCATCCCCTGCTCCACCCTGAAAAGCAATTTAGGGGCTTCCTTGTTTTCCTTAGTTATGGAAAATAAGGGAGAAAACTCTTTCACACCAGAATAAGTTATAATCTGCCACTTCTTTTCTCTTTCAGGATATCAAAAATATACTAAGAAGGTACGTGACTCTTTTCTCAGACCCCTTCTCCCCAACTTCACCAAAGAAGAGAGTAAGTTCTGTGGCATGCAAGAACCAGTCAGGAGTTTAGCAAACAGATGTGAGAATTTGCAGATGTGATGGCAAAAGGTCACAGATGCCTTGCCCTTGAACAAGAAAGCTTTGCTAATAGTTTGTCAGTACATTTGCTGTGAAAGATGTTGAAATTAGGTTTCCCAGGTGATATCTCAAATAGTTCATCTTTATAATAGGACATTCTTTAGAATGTAGGGGGTTGGGGGAGCTGAAATATTTGCTTCTCTACAGATAGGCCAACTCTTTGAGCAAAGTGTGACAACTTTATTAACTATCAGCTATCTGGTGAATGTGGTACCTGAAGCTAAGAATAGGCTAAAGTCTCATCTCCCAATGACAAATTTTCTTTGGTTCTCCTATTTTTGTGTGCCTTTTCCCTGATATATATTTTTTGCATGGTTCCTGGTTTTTTTTTTCCAAGTACTTTTTCCTTAGAAGAATGTTTGTGTGTATGTGTGTCTGTATAAATGCATTCCTGAGCAGAATCTGAGTTCACGCAACAATGTTCAGAAACGTATGGATTTGGGACATGCACGTGTTGTCTAGGTTCTTCTGTCCAAAATCTAGAAATACTAATGGACAAATTTCTTGTCTATCTTGGCAATCCTGATGTTTTATTTTCATTGAAATTCCTCTTCAAACAAGCAAAATATTGTTTCAAGAGCAATGCAAAAAAGTACTCACTAATATTCATATAGTTTTTATATATATTTCTATGTATATATTTTTCTTTGCATTTTTCTTTGTGTGCACTTTTTAAAAAATGCACACTGGCTCTGTTGCATACACGTATATTTCTATTTATTCCCAAAATACATTTTTGTATATAATATCTGAACTGTGTGCTTAAGGTTCATCATTTGGCAAGTTGAGAAATTGGCATTTTTATATTTAAAAAAATTTCAGTGATGAATTTCTTATATGTCTTATTACCAGCTACTTTGGACTAAGTAATCAGCATAATAACGTTTAACAGCAAACCTTTGCAGAGGAAGACACTATTTTTATTGAAAGTAAGCTATGGTTCCTTTCCAGATAC